CGGGGGTGCTGCGGGAGGGGGGAACAAATGGGGAAAATGGGGGGAAAAAAATCCTCCCCTTCTTTTCAACGTCCTTTGGGAGGGCTCAGAAAAGCTCCTTGGTTCCTCTTGGGGAGGGGGTCTCAGTATTGTTTCCCCAACGTTTAATTAATGTGTTTTTAAAGCCCGTTTGTTGAAATATTATTAAAACGTCTCATTTTGCTAAAATAAAAGGGCACGGGGAAAATTTGTGACTGATTCAGCAGCACTGGAGCAGAAGCATCTCCGGTCCCCCACGGTGGGTGACGCTGGGGGGTTCATGAGCTGCTTTTCTCTTAAAAAGTATCATTTTAGAGAAAAACTGTGTCCAGATGAAGCAGAACTGTGAGCAGGGAAAGGGGAACGATGGGGGGGGTACGGTTGGGCCCCTGTTTTCGGGTGGTGCTGGAGCCCTCGGTGGCTTTTTTGTTGGAAAGGCTGGAGGAAAATATACGGAAAGGTGGTGGAAGTTTGTTTGCCAGCGGTGGAGATGGGATCAGCTGCTACAGTCTGCATCCAGGAGATCCCCCCAAGTCCCATCCCAAGGGATCCCCCACGCCCCATCCTGCAGGATCGTCCGTGTCCCGTTCTAGGTGATCCCCATGTCTGATCCTAGATGAACCCCCAGGTCCCACCCCAGGTGATCCCCCATGGTCCATTCCAAGTGATCCCTCCTCTGCCACCCCATGTGGTCCCCCCTCAGGTCCCATCTTAGATGATCCCCTGGGTCTTATTCCAAGGGATCTCCCAGTACTCAGCTGAGATACTCCCCCAAGCCCCATCCTAGATGGTCCCCCATGTCTCACCACAGGTGACCCTCCTCCAGGACCCCTCTTCGCTGATCCCCCAGGTCTTATCTCAAGGGATCCCCCAAGTCCTAGCCTAGGTGATCCCCCAGGACCCATCCCAGGTGATCCCTACCCCAGGTCCCATCCTGCAATCTCCATTCCCAGGTGCAGGGGACCATCCTGACCAGGTTTCGGGGTGGCAACGGCGGGTCTCTCCCTTGGCACCCTACGTCCCCCCCCTTTTCTCCCCACCTCCCAGGCACCGAGTGCATCGCCTGTACCCATTCAATTAATTTAATCATTAATCAACGCCCGATCCAAACCGCCCCGTGAGTCACGGATCTGCCCCGTGTGGCGGGAGGCAGCGTGCGAGCTCCGAGATGAACCCTGCACACCCCGTCAGCTCCTTCCCCTCCAGCGGGGCGATTTGGGCCTCGAAAGCTGGATTTGGGAAGCAAAATCCCTTCCCTTGGCGATGCTGAAGCAAACAGGACCCTCCCGTCTGTCTGTCCGTCCATCCCGAGCGACGCTGGTGGAAACCTTCCCGCCGCTCTCCTGAGCATCAAACGGGGGGAGAAATGGGCAAACGTCTCCGGTGCAAAAAGCACAAACAAACTGCCGCTGCTGATGGGGCTGCAAGGCCGGTGTTCCCGGACAGGGTCCAGCCTCCCGTTAAAGACCATCGTTAAGAAAAACCAGCTCAGTGTAAGTGGTGTGACAAAATACTCTGGAAATTAAACCACCCCAGAATAGAAGGAGAAAAAGTCAAGCCTAAAAATACAGGGTATGATTTTGCCTCTGAAACATAGCGTTAATAAATAATCATGTTTTCTGGAAGGTCTAATTTTAGCAGCTCAGGCACAATAGCCTGGTGTGACCCCCTTCGCTTGTCTTGATTTTGCTGGATTTGGGGCTTTTATTTTTTTTGGCCAGGCTTTGCCCCGCTCTTGTCCCCTGCAGAGCTGCAGGCAGGTTGGGTGCACGAGCAAGAGGGCAGCACGTGGTGAAGGTGCCGGGTGCTGGGCTGGGGGCCGTGCCTGGGGTGGAGCGAGCGTGGATGTGCTCAGCCCTGCCGGCCGGCGTGCAGGCACCTGCCCGTTTTTCCCAGTGTTGGAAAAACAACCGGGGATTGCCAAAGATCCCGGCCCCAGGGATAGGCTGGATGTGTGGGGGGGTGAGGTCCTCGCGGCAGCTTGAACATCCCCGGAGCTGCGATATCCCCCGCGAAACAGCTATGCCCCGCTCACACTGCCTCCCCGTTTGCTCGTTAGTGCCTGAGCATTAATAAGACCCATTGTAATTAATTAAGCTTCGAATCTCTCCGTGTAGGGTATCACCTCAGCCCGGGGCGGGAGGGCTGCTGCAACTGGGTTTCACCCTCTTTGTGGGGAAACTGAGTCACGGGGAGCATGACAGGGTGGATTATGGCCAGGAAAGGTGAATCCTGCTCTACTTACCTTTGGGATGGGGATCAGGGTGAAACCCAGCTGCCAACTCTCCTCTTAGCTTGGGCGGGCGGAGAGAAAAGGGCCCCCAACGCCCTGGGAGTGCAGACAGCAGACCCCAAAAGCGATGGGGATTTGGAGTGGGGACGGCCACAACCCAGGGGGCTGCAGGTGGAGGGTGCCCAGCACCCATCGGGGACATCTTTCCAGCTTGCAGGGAAAAAGGATGGGGGGGGGGAGGATGAGGGTGATGCGGGGCTTGGCCCTGGCTGGGGTGCACCGATGTCGGTGATTTGGGGGG